CTTTTATTCAATTGTATAGATGTACCACAGTTTTCTAATCTATTCATCTACTGATGTGCACTTAGGCTGTTTCCAGATCTTAGCTATGGTAAATTGTGCTGCTATGAACACAGGGATGCATATGTCATTTCTGATGGGTGTTTCTGGTTTCTTGAGATATATTCCTAGAAGTGGGATTACTGGGTCGGTTAAATGGCAATTCCATTTTTAACTTTTTGAAGAAACTCCATACTGTTCTCCACAGTGGCTGCACCAGTCTGCATTCCCACCAGCAGTGCATGAGGGTTCCTTTTTCTCCGCATCCTCACCAGCACTTGTTGCTTGTTGCAAATAGATCATTTTTATGAACTCTTCTAGCCCGTGGAACTCTCCTCGATGGCGTCCTTCTCAGTTATATTTTAAGTTGTTTTGGGTAGTTAATAGTGACTCCAAGTCTGTGAGATCCAGGGCAGCATCTGTCCTATTCCCTGTAGAACTTCCAGTACCTGGAGTAGCATCTGGCACGGAACAGGTCTTCAGCAGATTTTTGCTGAAGGAGTGACTGAAGGAAATTCTCTTTAACTGTCTTCTCCAGGTTGTCATTACATGACAGCTATTTCATTGTTTCCTTAAATCCAATCCACATGCGTCTTCATTAGGCACATTTTTGAAAAAACAATAATGGTAAAACTAACATAGCAGTTACAGCACAGACTTAGCATTTGATTGCAGGATTGCAATCCTAGTGGCACCATCGCGAACAGCCTGTGTGAGTCTGTGAAACAGACACCTCCTTTGGAGATGATTTTTAGAATTCAACGAGAGAACATGTGCTCCAGGGCATGGGCCGAGTGCACGGAGAAGGTGCTCAGAAAATACTCGCTGTCACCAGGGTCCCCTGCCGCCTCCTGCTGCTTATCGTCCTCCCCACCTGTGCGTGAGGTATTAGCTGCCACTTATTAAAAACTTGAAGCATCCTTGGTTTCCAACTGAGGCATTAAAAGCCAGCAAAGGCCCTACGTGTATGTATTTCTGGACCATTTCTTATATCCTCTGGGTAATTTCTGTCCCAGCAATAAATTTGTCTATTGTTTTAGACTAATAGGGACACATATGGCTTTAATGAATTGAGTTAGAGTTATTGGAAATTTACAAAAAGGCAAGTCTTTAGTGTCCCCTATAATTATAGTCATTTAACCTTTTAAAATAAGTTTATTGAGCTATATATAATTCAATATTATACAATTTACCCATTTCAAGTTTACAATTCAGGGGTTCTAAGTACATTCACAGAGTTGTGCAACCATCAGTACAATCAATTTTAGAACATTTTCACCTTTTCCAAAAGAAATACCGTCCTCTAGCTCTCACTCCTCAGCCCCTCGAGCCACTCATCTTTTTCCGTCTCTCTGGATCGCCTGTTCTGAACATTTCATGTAAATGGACTCATACCCCGTTGTGGTCTGTGTGAGTGGATTCTTTCACTGAGCATCATGTTTTCAAGGTTCATCCATGTTGAAGTGAGTACCTGCTTCATTCCTCGTTGTGGCTGAATAATCTTCTGCTGTGTGGATGGATCACATTTTGTTAATTCATTCACCAGTTCAATGAAATTTGAATGTCATATAATCAATGAGTACTTTCTTAGGACCTAAGTACCTTATATCCCATGCAATGTTTGGATTATACTTATCCTAAACAATTACTCATTGTTTTATCTGAAATTCAAATCTAACTGGGTATCCTGCGTTTTTATTTGCCAGATCTGGCAGCCGTGCCTGTCACTGGCGGACTCTGTGCCCGTGGGTGATTGGCTTGGTTCCTTGGAGGTCCGGTTTTCCCGTCGGGGTGGGGTGGGGCTTGTGGAGAGGTGTCAGTTACTCAGTGCCCGCAGAGGTCTGCGTGTGCGTGCTGTCCCGGGCTTGGGTGGTGTGAGTGTGGGGCTGGAACTGGTGTCCTTGTCCTCTGCGAGGTGCCTCCAGCTTCCTCATGAGGGAGGGAGCCAGCGAGTATGTGTTTTTCTTGATCCAGCCTAATCTGTTCGGAATGTGACCCAGGAACATTCTTGCTTTGTTTTCCTCAGAGTTTTGCTCGGCTGTTTGCTTTCTAATTTGTGCTGCTTTTGTCGTCATTCTCAGGGTGCATTTGCAAAAGGATTTCTACTCTTCTCTAGAACAATCTGTTTGCCTCAGAGATAGGAAGGGAAGGGTTAGTGTCTTGGAATACAGTAAGTACAGGTTATGTTCTGAGCCTTACAGTCCAGATGCTCTTTGTTTTCCTCAGAGTTTTGCTCGGCTGTTTGCTTTCTAATTTGTGCTGCTTTTGTCGTCATTCTCAGGGTGCTTTTGCAAAAGGATTTCTACTCTTCTCTAGAACAATCTGTTTGCCTCAGAGATAGGAAGGGAAGGGTTAGTGTCTTGGAATACAGTAAGTACAGGTTCTGTTCTGAGCCCTACAGTCCAGATGCTGAGGGCTGTGTGTGTGTGTGTGTGTGTGTGTGTGTGTGTGTGTGTGTGTGCAAGGAGAAGCTATCTAAAGAGTTTGATTCTGGTGACTGCTATCTCTAGTATAAGGGGCACAAGAAAAGGACTTTGATAGCCAACAAGGCAAGGTCTTCCCTGTCCAGTGCAGTAGCCACTAGCCTAATGTGTCTGTTTACATTTAAATTAGCTAAAGTAAAATGAAATGCTCAGTTCCTCAGTCTTACCACATTTCAAGAGCTTGAGAGCCACAAATGGGCGGTGTCTCCCGAGTGGAGAGTACAGACAGGACATTTCCATTACCGCAGAAGGTTGTTGGATAGCACTGGACCAGGGCTGGAGCGCCAAACTACCGCCAGAGGGTTACAACTCTGGCCTGCTGCCTGTTTTTGTAAATAAAGTTTTATTGGAACAGCCAATTTCATTCATTCACATATCATCTCTGCTGCTTTCGGCTGTAATGGCAGAGTGGAGGAGTCTAAGTGCAGACTGACTGCGAAGCTGAAAATATCTGTTATCTGAGCCTTCACAGAAAACGTCTGCCCAGGCTTGGGTTAGGGGAATGAAGACACAACATCTAGAGATGGCTGATAACACTTGGGAGAAATAAACAATAACAAAATAGCTGACATTAATAAGCACCTACTATGTGCCAGGCACTGCTTGTGGGCCTTCCTGCATTATTTTACTCACACGTTGGACACAGCCTTGGAATCGTGTGAGAGTGGTGGGCCGGTCTGTGTAGTGTGGTGCAGGGGAGGGAGGGACGAAATCTTGAAGGCTGCAGGAGGAAAGTGCAGGGTCATGGGCAGCTGTGGAGGGTGTCAGAGCCGGGGGGGGCAGGGGAACCACCTGCAGGACAACGGGCACACTGGGTGTTTGTGACAGAGAGATCAGACTTGCTGCAAAGCCCTTGCACTCCCAGGTAAAAGGTGATGAGGCCTTGGCTTCCTGCCTGGAAGGAAGGCAGGTTGAGGGGAGTTGGTGAGGTGGGAAAGTGACAGATTCAGCTCTCCTTGTGAGCACCTGATCCCCATAAATCCGTTTCCTGAATATCTTCACTTCGCCTCAGTGGAGACGGCTCCCCACTCCTCTTGTGCGTTACATAATCCCCTGTAATCCCTCCCAGTGTCTCCATTATGTCATATTCCACGTGATGACTTTAAGGCTTCTAACAGGTACTGCCAAAGGAGTTATTTTCTTTGCCTTTCAAATGTAAATACTTGGACACAGACACTGCAGGGAACACTACCAATCAGGGTTGGCTGTGGCGTTTGTAGGTCTCAGTGCAGAATGATGTAAGGATTTTAAGATGTATGGAAGGGGATTTAGCCAAGGGCAGGACCCTCTGAGCGATGCCCCGCCGCTAATTCTTAAAACCCACCATTGTGTGTTAGCTCACCTGTCACACTTTCTGCATATTTTTACTCTAGTGTGTCCCAGCATGGACATCCGGAACAACTTCACGAGGCTGCACGAGCTGGCTAACTGCTCGATCATCGAAGGACATTTGCAGATACTGTTGATGTTCAGAACAAGGCCTGAGGATTTCCGAGACCTCAGTTTCCCCAAACTCGTCATGATCACTGATTACTTGCTGCTGTTTCGGGTCTATGGGCTGGAGAGCCTGAAGGACCTATTCCCCAACCTCACGGTCATCCGGGGCTCCCGCCTCTTCTTCAACTACGCGCTGGTCATCTTCGAGATGGTCCACCTGAAGGAGCTGGGCCTGTACAGCCTGATGAACATCACCCGGGGGGCTGTCCGCATCGAGAAGAACAACGACCTCTGCTACCTGGCTACCATCGACTGGTCGCGCATCCTGGACTCGGTGGAGGATAATTACATCGTGCTGAACAAAGACGACAATGAAGAGTGTGGGGACATCTGTCCAGGCACTGCGAAGGGCAAGACCAGCTGCCCTGCCACCGTCATCAACGGGCAGTTTGTCGAACGGTGTTGGACTCACAGCCATTGCCAGAAAGGTACGCCCGGGTGTGCAGGGGTCTACGCTTTTCTTGTACCTTGTTTGTTAGAGAAGCTGGAGGCATTACCTGGACCAGGAGTGGCAGCCCTTTTCTGCAAAGGCTCAGATGTGAAATGCTTTAGACTTTGCACACTGTACATAAATGAGTGTACATGGCTGTGGGTGAATAACTTTATTTACAGTCCTAGCTGGTTTTGCTCAGTGGATAGAGTGTCCGCCTGTGGATGGAAGGGTTCTGGGTTCAATTCCAGTCAAGGGCATATACGTTGGTTGCAGGCTCGATCCCAGACCCTAGGGCGGGGAGTGGGGAGGGATCGTGCGGGAGGCACCCAGTCGATGTGTCTCTCTCACGTTGATGCTTCTCTCTCTCCGTCGGTCCCTCTCCCTTCCACTCTCTCTAAAAATCAAATGGAAAAATATCCTTGGTGAAGATTCTTTCCAATTTTCACAGAGAGGGATGAACAAAGCTTAATGGGGAATTTGTTCCTTTAAGCCTTGCTTTTCCAGAAGTGACATTTCTGGGTCAAAGGTTCTTGATCCTGATTGCCAAATGGCTTTCCGGAAATGCTGTACCAGCGGAGCTCCTCTCAGCTGTGGTGTGGAGGGACACCTTGGCCAGCTCTGAGTGTTTGAGAGAATCTTTCATAATTCCCTGGAGGGAGGAGCCGTTCTATTTGCATTTCTTTGATTGTTATCAGGGTTGAACCTTTTAAAACATGTTTGTCCTGTGGGTTTTCTCTTCCTGTTCATGTCTTTTGTCCATCTGTCTTTTAGGACCTTGGTGGTGTTTGAAATATTCATCTGTGTGCAGTTTTCATACATGCAGGCTATTAACCCTTTACCAATTGTGTTTTTAGGCATTTTGTTCAAATGCTCTAGATGTCTGTAGACAGAGAAACGTACAGGGTTGATTGAGTTCAGAGCTGGATTTGCACATGCCTCTTACATTACTTTATGCTTAGAGCGTTCCTTTCTATCCATAACATAAATGTTTTTTCCTCAAATTTTCTATTTCTGTTATCATCATTAAAAAAATCACCTTGGACATTTGGGATCTATTTGTGTGTATGATTTGAAAGGATGTCCATTGTCCCCAAAATAACAAGTTGGGGGGGTCTTAATGCTGTTTATTGCAGAAATGTACCCCTTCATCGTTGATTTGGGGTCTGATTCTAGGTAGCCATACATACATCGTCTTCCCTTGCGCCAGGGCCGTGCTGTTCTGATCCCTGTGGTCTTATTATGTATTGATACCCAGGGTGGGAAGTTCCAATAAACACACTTGCTACTTTATTGTCTCCTCTACCCCTTACTGCACTGACATTCCCTGGGAAGAGTTAGGGAACGTGGGCTTGAGGTGGAAGAAAGTGAGTGGAAGACCTATGGGTTGTATCATAAGAGATAAGGAAAGGGAAAAAGGAGGGTGTGAATGTGACCCACATCCCGCGTGGTTCAGGGTTCAGGCTCTGGAAGAGGGGCCGCACGCAAATGAAAGAGACAAGACAAGAAATAATAATTTGGAAACTGGGGGGCCAGGCGAGAGCCCATTCTAAAAGGATGGACTCCGCTTGTGCTCAGGCCGCTTGTGCTCAGGTCTCGCCATCCTTTTATTCAGTGTGGGACCCACCCATAGCCCTTAGGCAGGCAAGTTCCAGTAACAGACAGGCTATCTTATCAGTGAGGATTTACATGACTATCTGGGGGGGAAGTTGCTTCAGCTACCATTGTCCGGACTAAACAGTGGGTGCTTAGCCCTGACCTTTGCCAGGGCTCAAGGGTCACCAGCCTCCCGCGCTCCTTGTCCACACCTCTCCGGGCTCCTTGTCCACACCTCTCCGCTAGAGAAGACAATGGGCGGCTTCCCACATCAGGGTCTTCTCACCTGAGCCCAAAGCTACCGCGAAGCCCTACAAGGCGAGTCCTGAGTAGAATCTGTGGAATTCTCAGTGAGGACTCCATCGGAGCCCAGGGAGGAGCCTTTCCGCTGCACAGATGTTGGGTGGTAGGAAACATCTGTGAGATGGTGAGAGAGTGGGACCGCCACACCTCTTCTGAGGAGCGGTCGGGCAGCGAAGGGAAAGGGACTCTGGAAGTTTGTGGTTGGAGGAAGGGATGATATGATGGTTAATATATTGTGGAAAAATCTTGAGAGTGTTGGTAGGTCAGGGACAGAGAGAAGCGAAACTACAGCTGCAAGGGGAGCTCTGTTATCCTTGATTTAGAGACCAGTGAGGTTCCCTAACTTGCCTAAGGCCACACAGCTAATAAAAACCAGCAGGGGTTTGCACCAACTCAGACACAAAAAAGCATGTATGTTTTTGTGTGACCCCTTTGTTCAGAAGCTACTTCTGGATGGGGCGGGGAAGCAGGGAGAACAGTGAACACTTTTACCCCAAGGCTCAGTTCTCCAAATTTAGGAGCTTGTTTAAAATGCCCGGGGCTCATGTGTCTTGGGATATAATTGGAGGCGTGCTTCTGTGGGTTTATTTTTGTATCCATTTTAGTCAAAATATCCAGGACCGCATTATCAGCAAATGCCCTGATATTTTCAGCAGGCTTTTTATTTTTTAATTTTTTAACTCTTTTGCGTTTGAGAACAAAGCTTGTTTTTCAGCACTGGGGGTTGCATTGCTGTGACTGACACCTGTGAGGGTTCTGAGCTCCTGGCGTCTGGGCACCGTGCAGTTGGTCCTGGTTCATTATCAGTGGTGGGGTCCCGTGGGTGAAGCATTGCCCTGTCCTGGGACAGATGTCAACAAGTGATTGTGCTTTGAACTGGTGTCCCTGTCTGGTGAGTATAATCTATTGTAGTAAAATACACATAATATAAAATTTACAATTTTAACCATTCCAAGTGCTCAGTTCAGTGGCACTAAGTACGTTCACACTGTTGTGCATCCATCTTCACGATCCAGCTACAGACATTCTCATCTTCCCAGACTGGAATTCTGTCCCCACTAAACACTCACTCCGCCTTCCCCTCTCCCAGGCCCTGGCTTGTGCCATCTGCCTTCTGTGCCTGTGGATCTAACTCCTTTAGGAACGTCCTGCGAGTTGAGTCCTACAGCATTTGTCCTTTGTAACTGCTCATTTCACTGAGCACAGTGTCCTCAAGGCTCACCCATGTTGTAGTCGGTCCGGCATTTCTTCCCTTTCTACGGCTGAGTGATATCCCAGTTATGGCTGGACCACATTTTGTTTCTTCATTCATTCACGGATCGGCTCTTGGGCGACTGCCCGTTTTAGCTATTGTGATGAATGCTGCTGTGAACATGGTGTATGTCTCCAGCTTTTTAAATGCTGCTGTGGCTTCAGAAGTTATGGGTAACATTTCGCGGGGTTTCTGAGTGCAGAGCAGTCTGAAACGAGCCCTCGGAAGACACCCCTGTCTCAGGAGACAGATGCAGACCTGAGCAAACTGACAGCTCCTCTCGCCCGAGAATCCTCCCAGAGAATCCTCCCAGAGAATCCTCCCAGAGAATCCTCCCAGACACGCCCCCGAGCTCCCACTGTCCTTTTCTTGCAGGCTGGCAAGGCTCTGGCAGCTCCTGGGCCCGTGTGCCTGTGGGATGAAGGTGCTCGGCCGTCCTTCGGACCCAGCTTAAGCGTTCTCTGCAGTGACCCTTCTTCCGCCGGCCCTGAAAGGAGAATGCTTTAGGCGGGAGAGGAGGGTCAGGGGAATTAAAAAGAGAAAGTCACTGGTGTGGCTCCACGTTCTTCTCCTCCATCACTGTCTATAGATTTCGGCTGAAGATGCCAAGAGAGGCCAAATACAAGGAGCCCTGCATGTGCGGGAGGGGAAGCCGATCAGGAAACACGCTCATCGAGAGCTGACTGTGTGCTAGGCATTGAGCGGGGAGGGAGCTTGGGGTCCCAGGAGGGGCAGCCCCTGCCTCCTTGGAGAGGATCTTCTGGTGGCAAACACACTGCGTGCTGATTGAGTACCTTGTGGGGAGTGTTACAACAGTGCTCTCTCTGCGGGTGAGGCGTGATTGAAGCCTTAAGCTCATCTTTGGGGTCACAGAAGTGGCGTGTCATGAAGGCCCTGAGGTTGGCCTCATGGTCTGTCCCAGAGTGGTCACAGGATGTGTGGGGTCTGGCAGAATTGCCTTGGGGTCCTGTCAGCCATGAACTGGTCATGATGTGGATCAAGCCTCAGGTTTGTCATTTGAAAAATAGGAATGATTTACGGGACCTGCTTGTTAGGGTTATGGTTAGGGGGTTAAATGAGATGGTGCAGGAGGTGCACTTAGCCCAGTACCTCTGTGAGTTCTGGAAGCTTCTCCTTAGTGCCATTGGTCCACCACTCTTTCTGGCCACTCAAACCACTGAGTCAGTGAATACCTGCCAAGTCTTGGCTGCGTTTCTGGCTTTGGTCTGGGGGTAGCAAAGGAGCGCCCACCACATGATGAGGGCTGGGTGCTGGGCCTACCCTGCTCCGCTCTGCTCGCCTGGCGCCCCAGCTTCCAAAGCTCTGCAGACCCCACGCCGAGCTTTTGGGGGAACTAGAAACCACAGGGCTGGCCGGACCAGCTGCCCTCGCCAACTCACTGGCATGTCCCCCCTGGGAGGCCACCCCAGCTGGTGCCGCCAGTCAGAGGGTGGGTCAGGCTGGGGCATGCTGGTTGCCAGGAAGATGGCTGGCAATGCCACACACAGACAGCAAGAGGGCAGAAGCGGAGGCGCAGGGCAGGTCTCTGCTTCCTGAGTTTGCATTTCCGTTTGTGTTTCAGATCCTCTGAAAGTTGGGGGCTCTATTTACATTGAACAGTAAATATTTCTTTTTTTCTTTTTTGTTAATCCTTACCCAGGGCTTCTTTTTCCATTGATGTTTAGTGTAGAGGGACCGAAAGAGTGGGAGGGAGGGAGAGAGCGAGCGAGAAACATCGATAAGAGAGAGACATGATGGCTTGCCTCCCACATGACACCCCCACAAGGCTGGGGATAGAACCTGCAACCCAGGTACGTGCCCTTGACTAGGAATCGAACCTGGGACCCTTCGGTGCACAGGCTGACACTCTAACCACCGAGAACACTGGCCAGGGCTGAATGTTAAATACTTAAACGCACGCCTGTTCTTGAAGGGTTTGCTTTTAGTCAGAAGTTTCAGCTTCATGTTGAAACTTTTTATTCCTTCATTTATGTTTTAGTTCTGCCTTAGAATCTCCTTGGCAACAAATGCTTACTTTGTGCAGGACACGCGTGTAAGGGTTTTGCTTATGATACTGCGTTCAGTCCTGCCAGCAATTCCTGTGACTGGTGAGGCCACCAAGGCCCTGAGGAATTAGACTGCGTGCTCCGGGCCATATCCCTCGTAAGTACTAGAGATGGGATCCGAACTTGAAACCTGGATATTCTGGCTGAGAATCTGAGCTCTTCAGCAGAGAACAAAGAACCTGGGGGTAGGCAGTCCCCTAGAGTTTGCCCTGCCAGCATTCTGGCTGCCTCCTCTGAAGAGCCCTCTCATTCTGTCTGCAGTTGGCTGCTTCCGCTTCAGGCGGAGTTCCCTGAAACATAGGGACGGGCGTTTATTGTGACCCCGCACCTGCCATGAAGACATCCTGACCATGCATGACTAATATTACTGGGCTTTACTATGTGCTGAGAACTCACGGAATCCTCACCGCAGCCTATGAGAGGATGTCACCCCCATTTTTATAAAAAGAACACTGAGGCTTGAGGAGTGATTAATTTCTCTAGCAGAGCTTGCTGGGAATTGGTTGACCCTTGGTTATCTGGTGCCCTTGACCAGAGGTCAGCAAACTGCTATGCTTGTCCAGACCCAGCCTGCTGGCAGGTTTTGTATGCCTGTGAGCTAAGAATGTTATTTATATTTTTAAAAGTTTTGGGGGGAAAATCTAAAGGATAATATTTTGTGAGAGGTGAAAATGATATGAAATAAACGTTTCAGGGTCCCTCAATCACGTTTCAGTGGCTCATTTATTCATTTCCGTATTGCCTGTGGCTGCTTCGGGGCCCTGAGGAGAGAGTTGGGAAGTTGCAAGCGAGGCTGTGCGGCCCTTTACAGAAAACTATGGTGACCCCTGCTCTTGGTCATGTACCTTATCGAGATGAGGGCGCCCTTACGGGGTGGACGCTGTTCTCAGAGGAAGTTGGGAGCATGACAGTGTTAGGCCAACAAAGTCCGCCCTGCCCCTTTCTGGCCCCAAGGGGCTACCAACCATGGGAGGACATCCGTGACCCTCAGCAGCTCTTGATTTAGCTGGGGAGTTAGAAGGCGGGAGCAAAGTAACCATTCAAGGCAGGTAGCCAGCAGGAGATGTCGCAAGACGAGGCAGGCCCCCTTTTCCCTCCAAGGGCGTCATCTGGCTGGTGGGTCCAGATACCTTAGAGCTGGAACACCTGGGAATCATGATATTCTCTAGACAACACGGCAGAATGTTGGTATTTTAAATTCCTTCGTGGGTGTGCCACTGTAGTCCTGCAGAAAATAGAAATCTCTAGCATGTGCACATGGATACTGAATGGTAATAGTAAATTTTAAAAGGACAATAGATTGTGTAGCATGATGGGCCATGTGAGTTTTTTAAATTTATATTCCTTTTTGTATTGTTACAGATCTTTTTAAGAATCTAGATCAGAATTAAAAGCACTGTACTGAAAATATTCTGTGGCCATTGTGATTTCTTTATCCTTAAGATGATTGGACGTTTTAACGTGACTTTTAGTTTTGGAGATGATTGGATCGGGAAAGTAGTGCTAGTGTGAATGTTTCTGAGCCTCCCTCCCCCCACCTCCCCTCCCAGAACTGATGATAAATAAGGTGTCATTGGGATATGTGGCAGGAGATTGGTCCGGATGGGAGTGGTTATAAAAATGTGGTTTGGATGGCAATAATGCTCCGACAGAGAGTAAGAGGGAAGGGTGTCAGGTGGGTGGGAAGGCAGTGACAAAAGCAGAGGTCCATTGTGCACTAGAGCCGTGGTCGGCAAACCGCGGCTCTCGAGCCACATGCGGCTCTTCGGCCCCTTGAGTGTGGCTCTTCCACAAAATACTACATGCGGGCGCACACGTACAGTGCGATTGAAACTTCGTGGCTCATGCGCAGAAGTCGGTTTTCGGAAAGGAGATAGACGAAACAAGTATACAAGACGAGTGTGGATGGGAGAGTTGGAAGGGGTTGACCTCAGTGAACGGACCTCAATCAGATTGAGGACGTTTTTAGCAAAGGCCAGCTTAGGAGTACCCTAGTTAAGTTAATAATAGTGTGCCTACCTATATAGTTTAATTTAAAAAAATTTGGCTCTTAAAAGAAATTTCAATTGTTGTACTGTTGATATTTGGCTCTGTTGACTAATGAGTTTGCCGACCACTGCGCTAGAGTAAGGAGGCTGCCTCATGTGAGGAGAGGCTTGGACCATCTTGTGTGCTGAGTGGCAGGCATTTTCCTGTAGGTATGATGGGAAAATCATGCAGGTTATCCCAGGGCTGGTTCAGGATGGGCTGTTTCCACTGATACTGATATGTGCTGAGCCAGGATGTTGCTAGGATCCCAAAGTCCTTGTTGAGTGGGGGAGAAAGTCAGAGAAGTAACTGTAAGGTTATAAGCCAGGTAGGCATGAAGGCTTTCAGTAGGCTCAAGGGTGCACTGAAGACTGGTAGACCAGTTGGCCACATGGACTTCTGGGGACAGTACTGTCCAAATCTTTAGTAGTGAAGACCCAGACTTTCCGTTTTAGCAGGGGCCCAGCTTCTTGGAGGGGGCTCAGGGATACCAATTTAGCTAACTTTTTGCTTAGGGAACTAAATTGGCCCAGTCCTTCCTTTGGCAGAAGGTGGGATAGAGTTAAATCCTCATTATGGAAAGGTGGCTGCCTGGAGACTTGGTAACTGGTCTGACGAGTTTTTCTTCTTCTCCCACATACTTGACAAAATTCATTGACATTTCCTACTGTGTCACCAGACCCTTTGTCAGAATTAAAATCTGTTCTTTGTGACTGACTGATCACCTGAAATGCCTCGGGGAGGTCCCTGGGCCCTCAGCCCAGGTGCTCTCTGTGGTCCTGCCTTCTAGCTCCACTCACCCGCACCTGATACAATGTTCTCTTTCCCAATAAAGAGAACTGGTGAGGTGCTATGGTTTCCAAATCGTATCCCTTATCTTCTCTCCCCCTTCCCCCTTCCTGCTCTTTACCTCTCTTTAGGTTAAATGTCTGCATATGCTTAGAAATAAATAATGTTGACAGTGGGGAACTGACAAGAGAATTGCTTTCCCTTTGGCCACGTTGTCCACTGTGGGTGGGGCCATACCATTGGGCTAGTTTCCTCCAGTTCCAGGTTTAGGAAGTGGACTGAGATCTCCCAACCCAGCCTCAAGCCACAGGACATTGAAGCAGGGATGGAGCATAGTCATCAGATTGGGGCTGGGGATGGCGTCTGGAGATAAAGCCCAGAATCCTCAAGTGGCTGGAGGGTGTTGGGTAAAGGGTTGTTTGACCTTTTAAGATGGAAGCTGCTTTGCGTCCGTCAGGTTTTGTCCCTCAGGGAGGGTGTTGGTCTTTAAGATAGCTGCAGTCTGGAAAGAGGGTTTGCTGGGGGGCTTTAACTGTGGAATGCTTCCAAGTGGTCACTATGAATGAAACTGTTCTCAGTAGAAGATCCAATAAGAACAGGTTTCAAGACCTGCTATTTAGTCACAATGGCACAGCGAGTGAGCAGCCTGATGGGATCACTGACCACCCGCCATGCTTGTCTGTGCACAAACGGGATTCCTGTCATAGGCCACCTCACTCAGGGTGATGAGGTTAAGGGTTTTCACATCGGCAAAGCAATTGGATGTAGCAGGAAATATGCAGAACAAGACAAATTAGACCTGGAGCATTTAAGATTTCTGTAAAAAACAATGTATTTTTTTCTTTTTTGTTGTAAAATGCCCATAAGCTTCATTGAGTGACATTTAGCACATGTGCAGTGCTGTACCGCCATTGCCACTGGTTCCAGAACATTTCCCTGTTGTCAGTGGATGTGTGGAGTATCCCTCTCCCCACTGAATGACTGGGGTGGTGTCCGTATGATAGCTCGAGCTCTCATGGGAGGATGAGTGCTTTTTATTTGCGTGGAGCGACATCCCTGCGTTTCCAAAGTCCCCTGTTCCTGAGTCCCGTCCTGGAAGAAGTGCAGTTGGGATACTCAGTGGAGCTAAAGCGAAGCCAGTGTCGGGAGGCTCCTTGCCTGTCGCAGCTGGGTCCAGTTCAGCATCAGGCCGTCACAGGCCATTAGCCCATGGCGTGTGGGCGAATGCCGGGGAGCAGGAGCGTGAGCCCCGCAAGCCCAGAGTCAACCAAGAGGAACCGAGAGCCACGAGGGTGAGAGCCACGAGAGCGAACTCCTTTGTTTAGGGGATTAAACATCTCAAACCTTCCTGCGTGGAGTGGCCACGCCCACCCTGACCAGGTGTGACTGACAGCAGGTACTTCGCTAGTCCCCCCAACTTTCCTGGGCATGTGTCTCCTCCCCCGTCCAGTCCCTTCCCCCACTGACCTGCGGGGACCAGACCCGTGGCTCCGTGGGGAGTGCAATGCTGTAGTCTACCGGCGAAGCGGCCTGAATGAATGTCTGTAATAATTGGCATTTCCTTTGCTCCTTTCCTGTTATTAATAACTTGGCTAATTACAAGGGTATCATCATCACCTCACAAGGAAACTGCCCAGGAGCATCACTCCGCTCCTCCCGCCCTCCAGCCCCCGTCAACCACTGGTCTACTTTCCTTCTCTGTGGATTCACTTCTTCTGGGTTTCCTACAAACAGAACCATACGCTGTGTGACTTTTGTTGTTGTTAATCCTTGCCTGAGGATATTTCTTCCATTGATTTTAGTGAGAGTGGAAGAGGTGTGGGGGCGGGAGAGAGAGAGAGAAAGAGAGAGAGAGAGAAAGAGAGAGAGAGAGAGAGAATGAATATATATCTAGGAGTGGCATTGCCAAGTCATTTCGTAATTCTGTGTATAAGTATTGAGTCAAGGTTCCTTTCCTTTTTTTTTTCCTTTTGGTTTTAATTTTAAAAACACCATTTTATTGTCAAACAAACCACAGATGCAGAAAACCACAAACAAATGTAGCCTAATGAATTACTCTAAGGCAGTGGTTCTCCACCTTGGCTGCACATTAGAAGCATGTTAAAATCCTGATTTCTGGGCCTCATCCTCCGGAAATTCTGTTTCTTTGTTACTAATGCTGTGGCCCTACCTCATAACAAAGAAACAGAATTTCCTGAGATGAGGCCCAGAAATCAGGATTTTAAAAAGATTCCCAGGCGATTCTAATGTGCAGCCAAGGTTGAGAACCGCTGCTCTAAGGGGAACAGCCTTGTAACTCCCACTTGGTTGAGAACACTTTGCCAGCAGCAGTTGCCTCCTGCTCCCCGCCTCCCCCGCCCGGCTCCCCCCAGGCCCTTCGCAGGCTCCATCCCAGTCACAGCCCCTCCTCCCTCCCCAGAGCAGTCACTGTTCTGTCTCTTCTACGGGGTCACTTCTTTCTGTAGTTTCACTACTCAAGTGGGGAATCTCTAGACCAGCGGTTCTCAACCTGGGGGTCGTGACCCCTTTGGGGGTCGAATGACCCTTTCACCGGGGTCACCTAAGACCATCGGAAAACACATATATATAATTACATATTGTTTACAGTAGCAACATCACAGTTATGAAGTAGCAACGAAAATAATTTTATGTTTGGGGGCCACCACAACACAAGGAACTGTATTAAAGGGTCATGGCATTAGGCAGGTTGAGAACCACTGCTCTAGACAGTATAGGTTAGTCTTGCCCATTGAAATATTTGGTATGTCTCTTCGGATGTACAGCAGTGATTCTCAACGGGGGGGTGGAGGGTGGGGGTGAGGAGCGAGGTGATCTTGCCTCCCAGGGGACATTCGGCAATGTCTAAAGACATTTTTGGTTGTTTCGGCTTGGGAGGGTGAGCTTCTGGCACTGAGTGGGGGCCAGAGAAATGCCTTCCCCCAGGCCTGACCGGTTCCCTAGCCCTGGTTCGAGAAGCTCTGGTCTGCTGGTTTCCTCTGCACTCGCCCGCAGAGTGAGTGCTGCTGGCTGTGCTCATGGCCCTGGTCCTCTGGACCCAGAGGCAGGGTCAGACCAGGCCTGTCATTGGCTGCCCCACCCCCGCGCTCTGCAGTCAGCCATTTTCAGAGGTGATTCTTTCACTCCTTCCCTTGAGCATGGTTGTGGGTGGTGGTGTGCACTCTGGCTGGTTTTCCTTTTTTAAAATCTGCAAATTTTCTTATTCAGCCTAGTGGTAGTCATGGACCTCCCTTTCTCAGTTTTTTAATGAACAAGGCACAGATTGGACATCATAATGAAACTGTCTTCTTCACAAAGGCAATTTTGCTGAGAAAATTATGTTTTATATAGGCACAAGGTCTGAGGGTGATTGCGAAGGAATTTTACAAGGGCAAGAAAACACGTTCATCTTAGGGTTGGTGGTTGTAAGACAGAGTGGGCAGCCAACCTCGAGACACATGACGGAAGGAAAACAATAGATCTGAAATATGTGTCATGTGAGGATGAGTTTGATGAAGAAAGAAGTTGGAAAGTTGTCTTAATGATGCTCATATAGTGCCCTGGCTGTTGAGCTTACTGGTTAGAGCAGTAGTTCTACACCTTCCTAATGCTGCGACCCTTTAATACAGTTCCTCATGTTGTAGTGACCCCCAATTTCATTATTACAAATTGAACGTAATTAAAACATAGTGATTAATCACAAAAACAATATGTAATTATATATGTGTTTTCCGATGGTCTTAGGTGACCCTTGTGAAAGGGTCGTTCGACCCCCAAAGGGGTCGCGACCCACAGGTTGAGAACCTCTGGGTTAGAGCATTGGCCCACACACCAAAGGGTCATGGGTTTGATTCCTGGTCAAGGGCATGCGCCTGGTTTGCAGGTTTGATCCCTAGCATGTGGGGGGAGGCAACCAATCAATGTGTTTCTCTCACATCAATGTACCTCTCTCTTCCTCTCCCTCCTCTTCCTCCTCTCCCCCTCCCTTCCTGCCTTCCACTCTCTAAAAAAATCTGTGGGAAAAATATCTTCCGGTGAATATCAACAACAAAACAAGATGCTCATGTAGTCCAGAGGAGCATAATGCTTCACACAGACTGTCTTCCCAGTTTGGAAAGGATGCTTTTGAAAGAGGTCCACAGCGCTGCGTGACTTGATTTGGAAACTTCTTGCAGTTGAAAATGTTATATTTACAAGTGTTTCCTGATGGGGATTGCAAGTGACAACAGTGGGCGTTTGGTGGAATGACACATAGGCGTTGGGGCCTGAGAGACAGTGAAGGCCATGTGGCCACGCTGGCCCTGAGCTCCTGGGAGGAGGGATAAGGGTGGCTCAGGCAGACCCGGGTCGAGAGTTACAGATTCAGAATCAAGGAAGTCAGAAAATGCCCTCAGTTGTCTCCCTCTTGACCCACAGTGCGGATGTTGCCTGCACTGAGGCAAACATTTCTAAGTTTCCCTAACTCCGCAAAGGCCATCTTGAGGAAGGTCTAGCCAGCCTGGAATGGTCAGTAGGAACCAGTTCTTCAGGACCTGCTGTTGCTAACTGAGTGAGTGTAAGATGGCATGGGCTGTTGCTTTATTTTATTTTAGGTGACATTAGAATATTTATAGAGGGTTCCCTAGGCTTTGTAGCAACCCTGCTTCCCTCATGCTATTTTCCCCTTAAGATCTTCTTTCAATTCCTACTTCTGGGTGGGTGAGTGGGGTTTAGGAGGGTAAGGGTGTTGAGGGTCCCAGCTGTGATGGCAGTGTAGATTGTAGAACCAACCTGATGCATTCTGGAGCTAAGTTTGCATGTATTACAATGAAGTAAAAGCAAACATTTGGTCCTCGGTTGCACTAACCGCATTTAGACAATGCAGACGTGGAACATTTCCATCATTCCAGAAAGTTCTGTTGGGAAGCACTGCCCTAGGACGTTTCATTCATGGTAGAAGATAGCTCTGCAGTCAGATGGACCTGGATTTGAATCCTGTAAATGTGTGACCTTGGACAAGGTGCCTAGCTTTTCTCAGTCTGTTTCCTCATCAATAATGAGGAAATTGTAGGAGACTCAGTCTCAATGTTTTTCTTCTCAACTTTTAACTGATATTCTCCTTTTTGATGAAAATAAAGATCCATCCCCTTCTTTACTTTGATTTCCCCCCTTAAATATAACAATGAATGTTTTCTTCCCAACCTCTACCCATTTGAGAGTCCTGAAATAGACAAAGAAGTGAGTTGGGACAGTTGGATAAAACAAAGAGGCTATTATAGGGACATTTGAGCGAGAAGAGGAACCAGGAAGGGGTAGGTGTGTTGACTGGGGCTGAGAGAGTTATCGTGTCTGTGGGTGACCAAGAATGAGGAATGTGTCAACTCCTTCCTGGCTTCTCCCCTCTCTCTGGGGATAGGAACAGAGCGCTTCTCAGTGTGAGTAGAATGAATGGCTGAGTTGAGAGGAAGTAGAGTCAAGATGGGCAAGGAACTGAGGGAGGGAACCTCAGCCTGAGTTTGTCTTCCAGGCTTAGCATTGAGCATCTCAGTCACCTTGGTGATTGCGGGTAATAGGCAGGTGCTCAGACAGCTTAACCCACGGTGGGCGGCCATTCATTGGGAGGACATAGGGCTTTCTCTTGGAACTTGCATCAGCTGCCTTTCGCCATGTAACAGACCATTCCTAGACATAATGGTTTTACACAATTGTTACTTATTTTGCTCACGATTCTCTGGATTAGCTGGGGAGGTTTTCTGGGCTGGACCACAGGTGACCACAGACACAGGCTTGGCTCTCTCCTGGGTCTGGAATAAGCTGGTGAGATGGCTGGTGGTAGATGAGGTAGCATGGCCACGCTCGGAAGGCTGGCGGTTGGTGCTGGCTGTCAGCTGGTACGTTTTGGTTTTTCTCCCTGTGGCCGCTCATCCTGCAGTAGGCTGGCTTGTATTTGGATCTCAGGGTAGTTTTGAGGTTCCAAGAGCAAGAGATGACTCCTTAGTGCACAAGCGCTTTTCTCTGTATCAGGTGTTCTAATGTTCCACTGGTCAGAGCAAGTCACATGGTAAGGCAAGCTTGAAGGAAGAGGGAGGATACAGACTCCATCTACGGATTGGAGAGTGTCAGCTGGTGGTCTGTGGCATCAATACAACACCAACAGGCATCCCCAATCTGGAGCACCGTGAGGGAAACTGTTTCGTGAAAACAGCTCGGTTATGAAGCGGCGTGGCTGTGAGGAGGCCCCGGGGCCAGGCCCCGCGAGTAGACGGCTCTGCCCCACTCTGGTGCGGTCCGCCCTGCTCCGCTCCGCCTGCTCTGCTCCCAGCTCGTCTCCAGTCGGGTCCAGTGAGACATCTTCCCTGCTTCATCTTTGGTGTTTCTGCTCCAGCCAGGTAAGCGCCGTCTGCAGTGTTTGGTGGAAAGCAAAAGTTAAGGCTTCCTGAGCTAGAGGAGGGATGATTTATATAGACAGAAGTCTTGCCCCTGTTCCCTGATTGGTCAGTCCTCATGATTATGAGGACTTCAAATCCTTGCAGTCTGATTGGTCCAAAAACCACTGTCCTGATTGGTCAGAATGGAGTTCCTCTGAGTGGTTGGTGAAGATGTTGATAGGAATACAGGTGCAAAAGCTTAGTTTAGATGGGCAGTGCCTCAGTCTTATTGGTTGAAATAAGATTTCAGGAACTTCTTTATAAGGGCAGCTCAGATGCCGGGAACACAGTGCGGGAAGGCAGCATAATTCAGGCTTTTTCCTAATTGTGCTTTGGGTGAGAGGCCCCGGCTTAGAAATGGCTGTTAGGCTCTGCTTTTTTTTTTTAATCCTCACCCAATGATATTTTTCCATTGATTTTTTTTTTTTTTTTTTAGAGAGAATGGAAAGAAGGGGAGGGGAAGAGAGAGAGAGAGAGAAACATCATTGTGCCTCTTACATCGATTGGTTGCCTTCCTCTTCTGCCCAGACTGGGGCTCGGGGGGATCAAACCTGCAAGCGAGGCACGTGCCCTTGACGGGGAATTGAACCCTTGATCCTTTGGTCCGTGGGCCAGCATTCTAACCACTGAGACAGACCAGCCAGGCGAGGCTCTCCTACCAGGAGCCCTGCTTGGGAGGTATCTGGGGAACCATCCAAGAAGGAAGCACTTTAGGCTGTTTTTGCCATCTACCCCAGAGCCCAGTGTGGGAAACACAATGGGACTCATGAAACATTTTAACCAATACTTAGATCTGTATATGGCGTAACTGAGAACCCTAAATGAGTTTCCCAAGTAGTTACTTAACTTTCTGAATGCCAGTTATTGAATAATCAGATCCTTTCCCAGTGACTTTTGATTTATCATTTATTAAATTCAACCAAAAATCATGGTCTGTTTCTGGGATATCAATTCTATTTCACTCACCTGTATCTATTATCCCATTATGACACTGATTTAATTACTATAGATTTAGAAGATATTTTATTGTAGTTGATCAATTCTTTTCCTGTTACACTTTTTGCAAGTGTGTATTTTTCTTTTCTTTTTTCCCATCATTTATCCCCTCTGTACCCTCTTCCACCTTTATCCATGTCAAGGAGTTCTCTCTCTCTCTCTCTCTCTCTCTTTTGTTTAATTTTTTGCTCAATTCCTATACCCCCACCTCAGTACGCCGCCCTCTTTGCCCTCTCGAGCTGTCTACCTGCTGCCTGTTAGTCGGTCTCTATTCTGCTTGGTACTTCAGTTTGTTCATTAACTTCCACATGTGAGTGAAATCATATGGGGCTTGTCTTTCCCTGACTGGCTTATTCATGTTAGCATAATGTTCTCCAGATTCATCCATGTTATCAAGCGGGTAAAGTAGTATTCCGTTGTGTAAATGTACCATAGCTTTTTTATCCGCTTAATCTCCTTATGGACACTTGGGCTGCTTCCAAATCTTGGCTGAAGTGAACATAGGGGTGCATATATTCTTTCCAATTAGTGTTTTGAATTTCTTCGGATAAGTTCCCAGAGTGGAATTGCTGAGTCATAAGGAAGTTTCTTTTTTAATTTCTTGAGGACGCTCCATACTGCTTCCCACAGTGGCTGCACCATCTGCATTCTCACCAGCCGTGCACATGTTCTCTTTTCTCCACATCCTCGCCAGCACTTGCTGTTTGTTGAGTTCTTTATTGAGGATAGCCATCCTGACAGGTGTGAGGTGATACCTCATTGTGGTTTTAATTTGCATCTCTCTGATGATTAGTGATGTTGAGCATCTTTTCATGTCTATTCATCTGTATGTCCTCTTTGGAGAAGGGTCTATTCAGGTCTGTTGCCTATTTTTAAATTAGATTGTTTGTTTTTTTTGGTGTTGACTTTTACAAGTTTTTTATAAATTTGTGATATTAACCCCTTGTCACACATGTCATTGGCAAATATGTTCTCCCATTTAGGGGATTGTCTTTATGTTAACGGTTTCCTTTGCTCTGCAAAAACCCATTAGTTTGATGTAGTCCCATTTTTGTCTTTGGTTTCCCTTGCCCAAGGAGATATATCAGAAAAAATACTGCTACGAAAAATGTTTGAGATTTTACTGCCTATGTTTTCTTCTAGGGTTTTTATGGTTTTGAATCTAACATTTAGATCTTTAATCCATTTTGAGTTTATTTTTGTGTGCAGTGTAAGAAGGTGGTCTAGTTTCATTTTTTAAAAA